TTAAAATTTAAAGTTGCTACAATGGAGGACTCATGTGACTTGGACAAGCTTTCCATAAAAGAACTTACTAAAAAATTGCAAGCACATGAAGAAGAGCATGCAATGAGATCAAGAGAGAATAAGGATCATTTTAAGCTAAACATTAGGGTAAGGATCCAATTATAAGGCATGATTGGAAGTAGGAAGCTAGCAGATTTGATAAGGTAAACAAGTAGAATTCTTGAAAAAGTTGTCAAGAAAGGTAAGTTAGGTTCCACCTTGTCCAAAGGGTAAGGGATTAATCATCTTAAAAAAGAATTTTGGAACAAAGGACACTAATAGTTTTATTGTAAGAACGATAAGAAACATGACCACACAGATAGATTTTTTGAAGCAAAATAGGTGCAATACAAGCCTAACTTCAACTAAAAAAAATAAAATTTGAATCAAATCACACAATAAACACCCTTAATTTCAACTACACAATTATATTCACAACTTAACATAACAAGTGATGTGGCATATATATGGCTCTTTTATTGAAAAATCCACTTTTAATATTATATGTCTCAACTTATTTAATATCATATTAATTTGTAAATGAAATTGTGTAGTTAAGATTGTGTGTGTAGTATCTCTAAATAAGAAAAAAATTAAAAAAAAAAAAAAAGCTATTATTGTGAGATAAAAAGGAGTATAAATCCAAGTAATAAGTCAATCATCAACAAGAGCTTAACTAAATTGTTATTCGGTAACTAAAAACCTTAATTTTAGATGAAGATGAGAAATTCAAATAAACATTCCCAGAAAAAGGAAAAAAGAAATACATAAAACAAAATTTATGACTCAACCTTCTGCATATATATATATATATATATATATTTTGAACAATTTATAATTTGGGGGATTGAGAGAGGGGGATTTTTCAAAGCGTTTATGAGGTTCGAAACCCTGACCAACTAACCTAAACACCTTAAGGCTAGAGAACGAGCCACTTAGATCCAAAGACTCGGTTCTGCATATTCTCATTTAATATGAAAAGCCCCCCAAGATATTGTCCCTTGTTACCTAATATTTTATTTTGGGGGCCTTGGGACCATGGTACACGAATTACCTAACATTGAACCAACTCTATAACCAAATCAAAATTTGCCATGCAATGCTATAACAAAATAAAAGGGCAAATTGATTGAAAGTGAGAGGACAACAAACTCATTTAGCCTCCTTCAATTTCACTCATACCCACCAAACGAGACCCCAAAACAGTTAAATGCAACAACCTAAACCAGTTAAATACTAGGTATCTAATAGTGCCCCCCCAAATCATCAAAACACCAAACTCTCTTCTTTTTCCACAAGAGAACCTCATAATCAGTTTTAAACTTCTAAATCGCAACGTGGCAACATGGAATTAGGTGCCTGAACCAACAACTTAAAAGAGGAAAAGTTAAACCCTTGAAAATAAAGCAAGAACCATTTCTTCTTCCTCACTCCAGATAATACTGAGTAGTGCAAATGTACAGGAATAACAACCCATATCATCAGAGATTCAGAAGCTCCCATCGCTACCTTCACAGGACTGAAGATGCGATTATGGTGATTCTACCTGTCTGGAACAAAAAAGAAAAAAAATGCCTCCTGAAGTACCTCATTCCTGCCCTCTTCTAACTCCCCTAGTTCAGTTCTCCACTCTAGCCTCTCCTAGTAGTCCAAAAAGTAGCAAAAGAAATAGAAGGATGAGAGCTCCTGGGAAAAAGCTGATCCCAGTTCTTATCTTGGTCCTATCTAGTCTCTCCATTGTCAGACTCGCAAAGATTGCATTCAACACTTGGTCTCCACCTCAAGTTTTTACCTTGCTGCCTTCTTCTCAAAATAACTGTTCCTCCCCTTCTGCATGCAAGGAGGGTCCGTCAGTTACACACAGGCCACCTAAACCCTCTGCTACTGAAACCGCCCTCACCACCAAGGAATTCCTTCTTCTATCAAATCTGATTACTCAGAAATTACCCTGCAATCTCCTTGTTTTTGGGCTTGAACCCCAGTATCTTAACTTGGCAGCACTGAATGCAGGAGGCATCACTCTTTTCCTTGAAGACAACCCTGATAAGATTAGTGAAATCAAAGAAAATTCAAATGCGACTCGAGTTTATAAGGTGGAATACAAGACAGCAGCAAAGAAGGCTTACAAGCTGCTCAAGCAAGCTAGGCAAAACTCTGCTTGTGCTCCTAGCTTGAGACCACTCCAACAAGAAACCTGCAAATTGGCATTGAGAAACTTACCACCACAAGTGTACAAGACCAAATGGGATGTGGTGGTGGTGGATGGACCAGCTGGGGATGGACCAGAAGCACCTGGCAGGATGGCAACCATCTATACTGCTGGACTGCTAGCAAGGGCTGGGAACGCAACAGATGTTCTAGTGCATAATGTAGATCGGACAATTGAGAAATGGTTTTCCTGGGAATTTCTGTGTGAAGAGAACTTGGTTTCTGCTAAAGGTAGATTGTGGACCTTCAGGATCACAGGTCAATCAAATTCTACCAGGTTTTGCTCTGGCAAAACAGTTGAAATAATTTAATACTAGCCTTCTAAGGTTCTAATACTACTATTGAGAATTAACAGCATATTTCAGCATATATCAGACAATGGGTGTACAGTATAAGCTGCAATGGAGGCAGATAAGTAAGAATTAGATATTTAATTTCCTGTAAATCTATACCATGTATTATATTTGAGCTCAAACCATATGCAGCATTTGTTATATTTGAGATATCAAAAGAAATTGCATGTTCAAAAAACATACCAGGATGCAGTAATTCCTATTATCTTAAATGCTGATCAGTATTAGGTACTAATTATATCAGTTAAACAACTGATACAAGGACTCTAATCCTCAACATGCATAATCTTAGACATCAAATCTCAACTTTTAACTATTCTTCCAATCATTTGACTCATATAGAAGAATTTTCTGACAATTGCAATTGCAAGAAAATTATCAGCAAGAATTATAATTGCAACCTTGTGCAGCGGTGATCCAAGTGAGACAACCTGATTCTATATCCATGGCTCCTTGGATATGTAGCAAAAATTGTTACCATTAGTATGAGTTCTACATAAAGATCTTGGAAAGTCTTTCTCCCCTTTGACTTTTTTAGACAAACATGTGATGCACAGGGATTTAGCAACATACAAGTACAAAATGTGACATGAAGAGTAAAGCAAAACTAAATTTTTAATTGCAATGCATGTTCCATGCCTTGACTTACTTTCAAGTTTCTACAAAAGACAACCACTAAACAAAATCAATGTGTTTCAACCAAAACTAAAAAAAGCAATAAAATAAAATAAAATAAAATCAACATATGATATGAGCATGGAAAAGGTGTAGATTTTTATCATTCCAGCTCATAAGAGACTAGATCTGGGGCCTGGAAGTCCAAGTAATATTGGATGGAAGGATAGGATGCTTACATTCGGTTGCAGAAGTGAGGCTGGGTGTTAATTATTTTCTCAGGATCATTTACAACCTTGAGTAATTTCTGTTTCTCCTTCTGAAATTCTTTTCTAGACTCCTTTCGGCTACCCAATTGCCAGACCCTGCCAAAGTTGGGAAGCCAGTTAGCACCATCAAAATCATTCTTCACAACTTCTCACTTCTTCTCCCTTCTTCTCCCTTTCCAGCTCCATCTTTTGCTTTTCAGCCCAAGCAGTACCGACTCTCTTTGAATTCAACTTTTGAGATTTCACAGATTTATTTGAAGGATAAACAAAGCTGCTTGAAGCTGGTTTTACATGATCATCTAGAAGAGTTTCATCTGCTGTTTCAAACCAAGGAGGAGGTGCTCTACTACACAAATTTCCTCCAGCCTGTTCTGTGGTGATTAAAGCAACTTGAGTTAGGGTCTGCAAACCTGAAGAGAGGAAATAAATCATAGTGAAAGAAAGAAATCATAAAATATCAACATTTAACAACTTCTACAGTGCTAATCATAGGCACATTAATAACTTTACAGCAAATGGTAATTAATACTTCAATCCTGCAATATAAGCCATTTCACATTATTATTTCACACATATAGCATCTCAATAATTAACTTAGAATGGAGAAGAGTAAAAATTTTTTAAATCAAAATCAAAAATAAAAAATATTGTTACCCTGAGTAGAAGTGGTCTGTCCACGTAGCATCCTCCATCCAGATATTGCTGGTATGCCAATATAAAACATGTTAGGGTTAGAAAATAACATAACAGTTTCATTAAAGTAGATTCAAGACTCTTTGATAAATTCCAAGAATGTTACTGAATTTTGAAAAAAAAAAAAAAAAATACAAGACATAAACATCTGCAGTATAAGCAGCATACATTTATAGAAATGTGAATAGGTAGGAACTGAAACATCCACATAAATTCTATAACTGAGAAGATTACTTTATATTCTAAAACAAGTTCTTCTGCAAACTGTTTAATGGCAACTAATGCACAACAACATACATGGAGTCTGCCAATCAGGGTTTAGGAGCCACAACAATAAGGAGATCATCATCATCATTTGAAGGGTAAGGCTTACCTTAAAAGTGGAAAACAGAGTTGATGTCTAGAAACAAGTGTAAAACAGCCAAGAAGTGCAAAGTTTATAAGCTATGACTATGAGTGGGAAGAAGTCTATTAAAATTGAAATTTCTAACCACTTACATAATCAACTTTCTAAATTGAATCTGAATGAAGTGCATGCAAGGAACAGGGATGCCACTGGTTATGGGAAAGATCCAGGGGCTAAATATCATCCCAAATAGGACATAACATTATTTTGAATATGGTTTCAAAAATAAGATTGATAGAAACAGTCGTGCAAATTATAATTCCCAATTGCAAGGAGAAATGAAATAAAATAAACTTAGCTTCACAAAGGAGAGTGGATGCAATCTTACCTCTCCATAATGAAGATAATCAATGCCTGAGCATATTCCACCATTATAAAAGACACATTGTTTATTGGTTCCATTATCTAGGAAACTCAAGCCAAAAGCAGATAGGGTGAGACAGAAAATTTCAAATATTTTATTAGAGAAACTTAACATAAAATATGAATGACTGGCACTAGATTAAAGAATAAAAAATCAAAAATTCAATGATGTCCACCTCTCAAATCACTTGAATCCCAGAAACTTCTACCAAAATATGTGTCCAGTGCAGAACAAACTGTAACGCCATGGTGGTTTGAACCAATTTTTGCAACTCCATGAACTCCTGAATGGGATATCTGATACTCAAAAGTCTCAAATGTATGACACTGAAAAGGCACAACAGGATTTGAATGATTTGATTGAAGAGGGTTAAAAGTATTTAGATCAATTTTATTTATGTTTTCAAAGTTGAGTCTACAGTGGATATCATTTGATGATTCAAATCAAGAAGATACTTCACTTGCATCTGGAGCTTCTGTCTTCGATGATTTGCAGTTCTTCTCCACCAGAAAGAAAATAATCCAAATCTATTATCCAAGTATAGTGTTCACTTCCCTGAATTTTTTGGTATTAATTATCTAGTTTTAATTAAAGTTGAACGAAAAATGAGACCATAAATTCTATTAAAATATTAAGCTGCAGTTCTGCAAATGGATGAAATGAAAGATACTATAACCATACCTTAGCTAGGTCTGCATCTAGAACTCTAAAAGAATCCAAACAATCCATCCCACCATCATATTGCCAAATAAAATGCTTCAAATTCTTTAAATGATGTTCACTTACCAGATGATTAATTGCATTTTCACTGATTAGAGAATTCAAAACAAGAATTTAAATAACTACTCAAATTTATCACTAAAAGTGAAACCATAATCCAAAATCAATTTGGTCACAAATATCCAGAAAAGGCATAGTGACTTTAATCTCATCTGATTAATTTAGCTGAGCATCACAAAAAATCTCAATATCCAACTAAAATTGGATCATCACCAACCAAATAAACGACAATTTGCATGATCTAAGCTTCACTTGTTTAGCCACAGAGGTCTACAACCATTCCAAAGAAATAAAATTTGTTCTTGAATCGTGATCATGCTTTTGCTCTACTTTCTCAGCACCAAACTAGAAGCTCATGTAAGGACTAAGACTTCATTTAGGATGGTTGTGATTTTAAGATTTTGGTTTTTATTTTATATAAATATATAGTAATAGTATTAAATTTAAATTAAATTTAATAAATATAAATTTTTATAATAAATTTTTAAATCTAAATATAGTAGTTACTAAATATATAGAAAGAAACACGAAACCCAACATCATGACCATACTAAATGTAGCATAAAACTTCAAAATTTTTGGATAGAACTAAGAAAAATTATAATTCTTACCAAGCGAAGGAGCTGTGGATCTCATCAATATCCGTATTGCAGAAGATGCACCTAAATTGATTGCGACAGGCGTGCTGGTGACGAAGAATGGTAGAGGTTTTCAAGAAGAATACAACGTCGCCGATTTTGGTGTTGAAGCGAGGGAGAAAATCAGAGAGGGAACGCCTGTGCTTAGGGAAGTACTTGTGACACAACCCTTGATTGTTTGCTTTGATTTTATTAATAACTAAATAAGTTTATTCTAATTCTATTAGATCTTACATGATTTTTATTATTGATAAAAAAAAAAGAATTGAAGTAAAAGAAATTAGAAATTTAAAGACTAAAATTGTCAAACTTTTGATAGAAGGACTCAATTGCGAGGGAAAAAATCCATGACGGTTTGGGCTTACACGAAGGTGTGGCAAATCAAACTTGTTTGTTAGCCCAAGATCCCCATGGCACACCAAACATGAATGTGTGGCTAGGCCTCTTAAGACCGTAACCTGAGATTCACATGGTAGGACTTTAAACTGAGGTTACATGTGAAGAAGGGATATTAAATGAAAAAATCCAACATTATAAAAATAACAAAGAAACACAGGAATTAAATAAAAGAAAGGCTATTTTACCTATTTCTAATTGGTTTTAGGCAAGTTTTATGTTGAAGTCCACTTGCCTAATTTTCATATAGTATTAGAATCTAAGGCTTTATTCATGGGGAACTCAAGATCCCATGGCAGTTTGGGTCTACATGAGTGGAAGGCATATCTAGCCCGTTTGTTAGCTTGAGGTCCATGTGGTAGATAGAACTTGCACATGAAATGGACCTCTTAAGTTTATACCGTGAGATCTCCATGACAAGATTTGAAGTTAGTACCAAGCTTGCATGTGAGAAAATCTCAAATTAGAAAAATAATAAAGAAGCATATGAGTTAAATATAAGAAATATTACTCAATTTATTGCCAATCACTATAAGAAAACTAGCTGACTGAAAATAAAGATTAATTCTTAGTTCATCACTAATATCCTTTATATTTGTGATTAATTTAAAATATTGGATACTAATACTAACTTTAAAAATTGGAATATACAATTTTGACTTAAAATTACATTCTATCATTAAAGATTTGTCTCAATATACCACTTAAATTTGTGGACAGTCAAAATCATTACAATAAGGTATTTATTAGTTACTAGTAAAAAATGTGGGTCATAGATAATTAATTTTTGTTATAGATACCAAATTTTACTTATCACTAAATTTATTATTCATAACAATTACATTTTATAGCAATATATATGATTCGTCACAAAAGAAAATCACAAAAAAATAAAAAAAAAATTGTCACAATTAATCCACAAAAAGTAACAAATTTTTTCACATCAAATCCAAAGATTTTACACATTCTTAGGGACTTCTTTACCTTTTAACAAGAAGTTTTATCACTAGAATAGGAGTATTTTACTCCTACTCTAACAAATAAAATTATATTAATATTAGATCCATGTACTACACTAACTCTACGAAAAGATTACATCACTCGAGCATATAACATATACTTATACCAAGGATACCTAGCTTTCACATAATCATATATAGGGACACCCATTTCTCCATAGTATACTTGCACTAACAACTCCATGAGGGAAATTGTATTCAATTTGATTACCATAACTTAAATACTAGCATATAATATATTAAATTTTAATATTATTTTTTCCTTGGATATAGCAACTTCATGAGGATTGTCATGTCATATATATATATATATATATATTCTACTCCAATAGTCCAATCCCATCTGTAAATAATTTGCTTTAAAGTGCAAGACAAATAATGTTCATGATTGGAATTAAATTCACATTCCAGTGGAGCAATAGTACTATAGTTCTATGGGACCACATGGATAAAAAATCAAACCAAGATCAAATTGCAATGGAAACTACATGTCAAATTATATGTGAATAATAGTATATATAATAGCCAATTTGAGATTTTTTTGGTAAAATGACATTTGCATTTAATTTGATGAGTTTTTTTATTGTTTTTATTTGATACATCTTTTATTCTTTTATAGGTACATGAGCAAAATTATGAAATGAAATAATCTCATATCACTCAGGAATAAAAAGTAAAACTTACTAGCACTCTCTATAAAAAAAAATGGTGTTTTATCTCACATCGATTGGGAACAAAAAGTTTAATTTACTAATACTTTATATATATATATATATATATATAAACCTAAAATATATTTGATGCATCTTGTAAGTCTTGAAGTTTTGGGTTTGGGTCAAATAAGTTTATTTTAGGCCTTTTAAAATTTTTAATTAGTAGTTATTGTAATTATTGAATAAAATAAATATATTTTAAATATAAATAATAATAGTAATAGTTAATTTTATTTTAACTTACAATAAAAATTTTTAAATTTCTTCTTTAGCGATTTTTTTTTAATTTGAGATAAAATTATTAGTGGCTTAAAAATTTTGCCACAAATAAGTTTGTGACGATATTTTCTGTCACATT